TGTTTATATAGTATTTGCTATTTTTATATTATATAATATTATTATTACCATTTATAGCTGTTTATTTATACATGTGCATATAATATTTATTATTATGTTATTATGATAAAATTTTCGGGGAGCATAAGCTGAGAAGCTGAGGTGNGTTACGTGTGCTGTGTGTGTATAGTTTTTAGTATGCTTTTATTATTTATTATTATAGACAATATTTAATGAAATATTTATTATTATAGATCGAGTCTGCACAGCTCGAGCTGAGGCCCTCATTTATTATTATTTTCAAAACAGAGTGATTTATTTAGAGCGGTGTGGCTTGTTCGCTCTGAGCTGTGACTTTATTATCATTACTCTTATTATTATTATTGTGTTTATATAGTATTTGCTATTTTTATATTATATAATATTATTATTACTATTTATGGCTGTTTATTTATACATATAATATTTATTATTATATAGTTTATAATATACATATAATATTATACATATAATATCATATAATATTTATCATGATAAATGTGGTAAAATTTTCGGGGAGCATAAGCTGAGAAGCTGAGGTGCGGCGACGGTGATATGGAGCTGCGAGAGGCGACTGCGAATTCAAATTTGAATTTGAATTGGCTGCTGACGATTTGGATCAATGTACAGTTGGCGCTATTGTATCAGGCGTGTTGTTCGTCGAGTGTGGTGGCAGCGAACCACAGTGTGTACAGCAGTAATAGTAATAGTAATGTCAGTTTTATTTGTTATTATTATTATTTATTGTTATTGTTTTTTATTGTGATATAATTGCATGTGAAGTGGAATCGTCCTCAAGTGAAAGTGGAGGTTCGAGGTCGGGTACGATCCAGCAGTGCCGTTCAACAACAACCACCCGCTAGAGTGGCACCATCTGGCTCCGGCTCGGCTCCGGCTGGAGCTGTCTCGCAGCCTTCGTCGTCGTCTGCCGCAGCTCTGTATCATCCGAATCACCCGAATACGCTACTGGCCAACCATCTGCTCTACCGTCAACATGAACAACACAAATATCACTCAAGAAAAATGGTTCGTACAAAATTTTATGAAATAACAAATATTTATTTACTTTATATACTTTTATGTACTTTATATATTGTATATATTTATATACTTTATTTATATACTTTAACGGTAAATATATTCGATTGTGATTTTTGTCATTGTGACAGATTTATTGCCATTGTCATATTTTTAATTGTCATAACGATTGTGATTTCAGCAGCAACAGCAACGAGAGTACTGCGACATTCCACCGGATCTGTGGTGCGATAGCTATGAAGCTGC